TGCCAATCGCCTATCAATATTAAGTCTCGTTATACAGTTGCTAAACAATACCCACCATTCGTATTTTCTCCTGATACTGAAAGAGAAATTATGTTAATATTGACAAATAATGGCCATCAAGTTGCCGCAACGCTACCAAAAGATTCTGGAACTCAAAATCAAACGGATTTATCATTTACTGGTGGCGGTCTAACTGGTAAATTTAATTTCGTCAATTTTCATTTACATTGGGGTAGAAGTGACAGACATGGATCGGAACATGAAATTGATGGACACAAATATCCGGCTGAAGCACATTTTGTCTATAAGAATCTTGAAACTCAACAAACCGCTGTATTTGGATTTTTTTTCATGTTGTTCGTTCAGTTAACGAAGAAAATCGTGTATGGAAGAAATATACACATATTGCAAGTTTATTGACAAACATAGGTGATGCAATGAAGTGCACTTTCATTTTAAGTCATCTGATGCAAATCGAAAGCAAACGATTTTTCCGTTATATGGGTAGTTTGACAACACCACCATGCACTGAAGGTATTATATGGACAATATTTGTCGATCCGATTCCGATAGACGAAGAAAGTTTAAATTTACTTCGCAATAACGTGATGCGCAAAACCTATCGACCGGTTCAACCAATAAACGATCGAATTATTCACAGAAATTATGATCAATAACAGACAAAATAAACGCTTGAATATTATTGGCATTTTGGTTCAAAAATAAAGCACAAAATGCATGCCTAAGATACATATCCACATTCTGCCATAGTTAAAGAATGTAGGTCATTGTAATCTGGACTAAAGACATCCGATAGGCTTCTACTAATTCCTACCGAAATTTCAGAGAATTCCAGTAGAATAATTACCCTTGGAAGGTGTAGGATTCTCAGGACTTCAAACGGTCAGGACATGTTAGAAATTATTCGTTCCATCTTGAAATTGTTTGCAGACGACCCTACCTACCACATGCAAAGCGCTATTTGTTTATAGATTTATCAAAATCAACTACTGAGCCTTATACTTAAATTAGCGACCATATCGATGTCAACATTATTCGTATTTTCAGTGAAAACAATAGCATACAAGTATATTGGTGCGTGAGAACAGTTTCGTGTTATTAGTGTTTCATCAAATTATGAGTGTGATTTCTTTTTTTTCTTGATATACTTGATCATAAGTAGGAATATATGTGAAATTCATATTCTATCATATGTATATTGATGAATTACCTAAGTGATACTAGTTTTTAGCTATACTTACGTAGTACAGAAAATATCTGTGACTTGGTTCGAAAAAAACTGATTACTTTCTTCTTACAAAGGTTTTGATTGGTTTATTAAAGAATCGCCAATAATAGGTAATCATTTTGGTGATGGAAAAATACTATCATTGGGCATCGATGAAAGTTCAACAAGATAGAGCAATCGTAATTGATCAAGATTATAAACAGCATATTCATCATCTTAAATAAACATAAGCATAAAAATCGAATCGAAAAAAATTATTTGTCTTAACAGTGAGCTTTGAATTATTTTCATCATTTCTTTTCACTCCATATGTACTATGAAAATGTTCAAGTGTTTGAATTAAGTTTGGTGCATAGGAATAGAATTTATCTGAATCTCCTAATGCTACTTGAGATATACATAATAATCGTCGACCAGGACGTGTTGTACTTGATGTTCTATATTTTAATGATTTTGAAACTGAGGCATAACAAGACCACTAGAAAACAAAAAAAAGCGTTTATAATAGAAAAGAAAAAAAGGCTTTTTCTTTATCGTGATAAAATGTCATGAAAATTATTATATCTTGACCTATAGATTTAATGAATACTTACTTGTTCATTTGTGCAAAAAAACTAATAAAGTTTTGATTTGTATTTTGATAATTACAAGAGAAACAAGATACAAACGAATTTGTTGATGAAGAAATCATATCATGGATTGTTTATATTCCAATTAGTTAATTCATTAACAGTAAGCATATTACATAGCATCTAAATATTGAGGCATTAGAAAAACACATGAAGAAGATTATAAGATAATATTTTTCTGG